AGCAGAGAGAGGGAAGGAGGCAAATTGTTTTATTTTTCTGAGATAAGCTATCTTCATAAGATTGAACAGATTAGGAAGCTAAGGATTTTCCAGCTGTGAATGGCAGTGGTAGGACAGGCTGGTTCTTGCCTGTGAGGCAGACAGCACACAGGAAACGTAAGGTAAGGAACATGTGGACGGTCTGGAGGGTTTCTGATCATATAGAGTTGGATGAAGAGGGATTAAATTTGGTATTGAGCAAAAGAGTGGTGTGTTCAGGTCTGTCTGAGAATGTGGGGTTTCTAGTTTACAGTCTGGTTCTTGTATAAGGGTCTTCAAAAAGTTAGCGGAAAATGTATACTATGCAAAACTACATGCTTTCACATATTCTTTGCACTCAAATAGGCCTGTCTATTGATTCTATTTCTCCACAGAGTGTTTAAGGTCCCCTCAACCCCATCCTTCTGTAATTTGGTGAGCCTCACACTTTGATTAAGAGAGGGCAAGAGAGTTCAAATAACTGATGTGTTTACGTTGCGGTTTTTTTTTTTTTTCCTCTTGTATATGAGCCTTATCAAGATTGGCAAAATTTCTTTGAAATAAGTCCACCCCTGAGAAAATGTATCGCTACTTTAAGTGATATTGATTTTCAAAGTGTACAGTATAGGCCTAAACAGCTTGCAAATGCTCCTCGTTATAATTTCTAGGCTAACCTAGAGGTTGGTGGCGGTTTTGTTCCTTTTATACTCTTACTTGGTTGTCCTAGTTTTTCCTTTTTGGAAGACCTGGTTTCTATCTAGATGATTAAAAGTTAGCACACATATACTAGTCTCTCCCAGATTTTCTTTTCCTAGAAGGAAATCTTATTGTACTCTACATAATTCAGTACAGTTCTTATAAAAGCCAAGAAAGTTAAGTATAATGATGAAATTTTTCTTGAAGAAATCTGCAGTGAAAATTCTAGTGTATGTGTCGGTCTGCATTTAACAGCTGTATGATTTTAGGTACCTTTCCATGTCTCCTCATGCTTAATTGTATCATCTACTGGAATTTCAGCATGTAATACGTATTCTGTAGGATCTTTGTGTTGATTGAATGAGATAAAATTGTTTGGTACCCATTTACCCAGCAACTTTTTGATTTTTAGCAGATGGACAGGTCCAGGCAAATGAGGATTACCATCTGCCATTTGCATATCAGGGTGCAGATGTGAGCCTCGCATTCTAGGACACGTGGTATGCATCTGGCCTTTTCCTTCCTGCATCTTTCTTCTTGCCTTCCACCCCTCCGCCTGTTGTCATCCACTTCTGTTGTTTCTCTTCTTCACTTCTCTTTTCAATTTTTTAAACATTTTTTCTTTTTAAAGAATTGTTTATTTAATTTTATTTATTATTACTACTGTTACTATTTTTAAAATTTGCTATAGGGCACATGCATTTGAAAGAGAGAGACAGAGAGGGAAAGTGAGAAACCAAGACACTGACACCAGGTCTGGGACTCAAACTGTGGTTGGCCATGTGGGAGTTCAGCACCTCAACCACCATGCCACCTGCTGGCCTGGTGTGCATTTCATTTTAAGAGATGGTACTAGTCCTTTTTCCCAAAATGGTTGTGCCATTTTGTATTTCCTCCTGTAATGTATGAGAATTCTGGTTGCTCCACATTCTGTCCAACACTTGGTTATGTCAGTATTTCATTTTAGCCTTTTTAGTGGGTATGTGGTGGGATCACAATGATTATTATACTCACTTTTCTAAGTACTAGCAGCGGCTGAACACTTTCATGTACATTTTAAATGTTACATCTTCTTTTGTGAAAGTCTGCCTCAATCTTTTTTTTTTTTTTTTTAGTTTTGCTATAAGGCGTATGCACTTGTCAGAGAGACAAAGACAGACCATAATCGAGAAATCGCCCTCTAAGGGGGATGGCCACGCCACAACCCCATCTCCTCCATTCTCCTCTCAGGATCCTGGGCACACACACAATCATGCCTGGCGTGAGTTCTAAGCTGCTGGGTCCAGGACATGAACCACATTCAACTACATGGGAGTCCAGTAACATAACCGTTACACCATCTACTGGTCCCTCTTTTTGTCTATTTTGATTATTAAGTTGTAGGACTTATTCCCTTTCCCAATTTTTTTTTTATTGTGGTAAAATATGCTTTACTTCAGTTTTACCGTTATACCCACTTTAAGTGTATAGTTCAGTGGTATTAAATATACCCATAGTGTGGTGCACCTGTCGCCATCTTCCATCTCCAGGCTCTTCCATTTTGTACACTGGGACCTTCATAACCATTGGACAGTAACTACCCGTCCGCCCTCCCCTCCCCTCAGACTGGCAGGCGCGCCTCTACTTTTTGTGTCTGTGT